GGGGGGAGGCAAATGCATTTTAACATTAATGATAGAATTCTGCTAGGTGAATGGTGATGATATTGCCACACGATATAAGAGAGAGAAAAATGATAGTAGATGGTGACTATCAGTCAAAATCATAGCTTTGAATGCAAGATCTTAGCCTGTCGTTTGCTGCCTTCTGCAAATTTAATGTCAATTTTAATTTTTTCAAAAAGAAAAATACTAAAATAGGTATTGTAATTCAACTTGGTAAGAAGTGCAATAATTCGTTCAGATTGGAGTTGGTCGTAACTAGGAAGAGAATAAAAGTCTAATTTAATTTGACGGAAGAAGCAATATGTTTTGCATGAAATATCAAATTTTATCCATGAACAACATAAGGAAAATAGGTTTTACAAAGCCAAAATAATTTAGGGAAAAACGGTGTACAAGTTTTGATCTTGAACTGTGTGAAATTAATTAGTCATGTTCTTCGTTAACCAAATTGTCACGTCAGTTAGACACATGGAAAAAGGAAAAGAGAAAACGTACAAATTTCCTTTTAATTTTTTCTTTTTATTACTAATTCGTGCTCCTCTTGGCTTAGGTAAAACGTGGAATCCTTTTTATTCACTTCGACTATTAAAGTACTTCACATTAATGGGGATGCGTAAATTTGAGGGGAAAGATTTAAAAAAAAAACTAAATAATAAAGGTGTCAAATAAAACATAATAAAGAAAACAAAATCTTTTTCCTCGTAATATACTATTCGCAATAAGAATTCTAGGAATTCTTTCTCATTTACCACGCCTGTTAGTGGAATGAAGTAGTTGTACCTGCTACTGGATTTGCTTTTCCACTTTGCACTTTGAATCATATAAGTGCACAATTTGAATAGTTAAGCAAACCTTTTGTTAATAAGTTAAAAAATTTCCCAATTTTGGCAACTTATGCCCCGCCACTTTCACTAAGTAAACATCAAGCGTGGTCCTCATTATTTTTTTTTGATTTTCTACGTTGTGTCGGTATTCACATTAGGACCTGACTAGCTCGGATGCACACCGGAAAGTTGGGATTTACTTCAACGGGAGCTTTTTACGTAAATAACCGGCCGAATTCAATATTTACTTTTTTTAGCCGGTATACATAGATTATACATTAATCATATACAAGCTACACACATATTTTATATGGATTATGCATATATTATGCATACGTTAGGTATTTTTAATTTAAGCGGTTGAATGGGTGATTATTTAAATTAATTACTTATGCTCCTAAGCAAAAGCGATTCTATATATGCTCGTGCGAATTCGAAAAATCTAATTAAGAATAAACGACTATTTGTCGCTCCACCACAATTCTTATTGGTGTGCGGTCCTCATTATGATTGCAGCAACTTTGGGATTTTTGTTTCAATTTTCTTAGATCTTCCAACCTAGATTCACATTGCATTATTTGTTCAATCAAAAATAAAAATAAAAAACAAGAAGAAAAAGAACACATTGTTGTGTCCCTTTTGCTATGCATGCCGTAATGGGTCATAATAAATGCCACCAAACGATAATTCAGTAGAGGATTTAAGGCAATATATCTCTCATCCTTCTCTCTCTCTCTCTCTGTACCTAGGGACAAGAAACTGTTGGCTCTTCCCAGAAAAAAAATTAGTCCTAAATCACAAAACTCTATATTTCCCTACCCTTCCTAGTACTTAAATGCTAACCCCAGATGTCAGATTGTCTTCATTCAATTGTAACGATTAGGCTCTATTTATTGCCTTTTCATCCTATCTCTATTATTGCATGAAAAGTGAGGTGTTTTTCCCCAATTTGTACACATGGTAAAAAAACATGCTTTGTGTATGTGTGTAAGTGAGAGACTGAATGATACACTCACCAACCATGGTTGTGGTTAGGGGTGTTCATAAAAACCCGAACCAAACCGAAAACCAAACCAAACCAATCAAAAAAATCTATACTTTTTTGTTTGGTTTGGTTTTGGTTTTGAATTATAAAAACCGATCAAATTTGGTTTGGTTTCGGTTTTAATCAGAAAAAAAATCGAACCAAACCGACTATAGGAGTAGCTATTTCAAATTTATTGTTACACCTATATATATGTATACTGTTATACAAAGTTTCAAAAAATTTATGGTAAATGTTAATAGTTTGCACTTTTAATATAGTTCTTTACCTTTACACTATAGTTTGATTGGTAGTTTTCTTTTGTTTAGTGTAAGAAACCATTTCGTGTTAAACATAACATATTTTTAATTGAATCCTTAAATTATTCATCACTATTTGATTCAATTATCATCAATATATCTTGGTAAATAATAGATTTCTCAAAGGGCAATTGATTTGATAGTGTTACATTGAAAATATGGTCGCCGGAATATGTGTTTGGTAGTGTATGTCTTATATTTAAGAAAAAACCGACAAATAAGCGAAAAAACCGACATAAACTGAATCGAGAAAAACCGACTTAATTGGTTTGATTTGGTTCTTATATTTGAAAAACCGACTTACTTGGTTTGGTTTCTTTTTGGGGAAGAACCGATCCAAACCGAACCATGAACACCCCTAGTTGTGATGGAGTGATAAGTACTCCTTCATCCTTAACCAGAGGTCTCGGGTTCGAGACCCTTGGTATGGAATCACATTTGTTAAGGAGCGCTTTACCCCCAATATGAGACTTCCCAGCATGAATCCGGATTTAGTCGGGCCTCGATGTGGGTACCAGACACTAGGTTGGAAACAAAAAAAAAAAAAAAAAAACTCATGATACACTCTTCCTACATCTTAATGAATTTCTTATGCATCTTAACTTATGTAAGTTAGAGGTATAAAAGATTTACTTCAATATTCATTTATTTCAATATATATTATATAGTTTAACTTTGCAAGGGATTTAAATAAAAAAGACTTCTAAAATTTGTGATAATGAACACATCATAGCATTTACCTAGTTATATCACTTTTGAAACTTATATTTTAAACATATCATAATCTTTGCATGACTATAGAAATTTCTCATTAAGAATTAACGACGGACCGGATCAAGTGGACACAAACATAGTTTTTTCCTAAGCTTGCTTTGTGCAATAAGATAATCAGTTCGAGAGTGTTGGATAGAAGATGAAGCGATGAAAACTTCTCTTATTCGATCACCGAGAAGCCGAACGACTTTTAGTAATCCAGATTGATTTGACCCCCTTGATACATTTAATGAGAAATTTAAAGTTAATTTGCTTTCAAATATTAAAATATGTCATTCTTTTCGAACAAGCTATTAAAAAAATAGCCTCACATATGAAGGAAGTAACTAATAATTTAACTTATTATAATACTTTTTCCCTGTAAGTAATACACATATACTCCATCCGTTAACTTTCTTGTCCACTTTAAGTTTTCCACCCTCCTTAAGAAGTAATAATCATAATATGTATTTTACCATATGACCTCCAATAATGATTGCATTTCAAAAGTCTTAGGAAATAATTTTAAAAATGAGTAATTAATGAAAGGAGTAAAACAAGAAAAATTGTCTTTCTCTTAATTTAGCATGGTGAACAAGTAAAAAATAAAATTTATTTTTAGTATAGTAAATAAGTAAAAGTGAACGAAGGGAGTATATATACTCATTTTTTGCTATTATGGTAAGGCAATGATAAAAGTCACTAACTAGTACACCTGGCAGTCTCACAGTCCAAGAAAGTTGCAGCTAACCATCACCTCAAACCAATTAATAAAATAATTGAAAAAAAGTACTCCCTCCGGTCCAAAATAAGTGATTTTTTGGATGTTTTAACACAGATTAAGAAATCTACCTTTTAGTACTATTAATTAGCAATGGAATTGACCATATTAACCTTTACTATCTCACATAAACACTCCTAACACATATTTCAACACTATTTACTCCAAGGACAATGAAGGAAAAAAATAATTAATTCATTCTTAAAATCTAAAAAAATCACTTATTTTGGACCACAAGAAAAAGGCCAAAAGATCACTTATTTTGGACCGGAGGGAGTAATAATATGTAATGCTAAATGAAATGTGGCATTAAATATGTGAAACAGAGTATAGTGGAAGTCTCTGCTATATAAGTGCACGGTTAAACTTTTCTTGGAAATGCAATTGCCTTTGCTTGTGTTTTCTCTAAGCTAAAATAAAGCTTTGAGTTTCTAAGGCAATTGCTTTAAAAAAGATGAGTTATTTGGGCGTTGGAGTAAGTCCTGGAAATGTTCCAGTTTATCATGGGAATAATTTGAATGTGATTGATAGGAGAGTAAGGGTTACAGAGTTGGTGTTAAGGTGTGTGATTTGTGGTTTAGCAATTCTTGGTGCTGTTCTCATTGCTACTGATACCCAAGTTAAAGTGATTTTCTCTATTGAGAAAACAGCCAAATTCACAGATATGAAAGCTCTTGTGTAAGTTTTTTTTCCCTCTTTGCTTGTTTGCATGGTTTTAGGAGCTTTGGAACAACGGTAAATTAAGTTGTTTCTGTTTCGAGCCGTGGAAACAGCCACATAATTAAGCTGCCTATATTAAACCCTTGAGGAGCAGCCCTTCGGGTTCGAGCCGTGGAAGCACCTTAGGGTGCGGTCTTTCTTGGATCGTCTTAGCCCATGTCAATATCGCACCCCAAAGCCCTTCCCTGGATTCTCTCGGCCCATGTCAATATCACACCCTTGGGATGCGATCCTTCCCTGGATTCTCTCGGCCTATGTCACGCTTCGAGCTGTGGAAGCAGCCACATAGGCTGTCTATATCACACCAACTTATATCATACTCTTGGGGTGCGGCCCTTCCCTGAATTCTCTTGGCCCATGTCACGGTTCGAGTCATGGAATGAGCCACATAGGCTGCCTATATTACACCAGCCTATACTACACCCTTGGGGCGTAGCCCTTCCCTAAATTCTCTCGGCCTATGTCACGGTTCAAGCCATAGAAGGAGCCACATAGGCTGCCTATATCACACCAGCCCATACCACACCCTTGGGGTGCAGCCCTTCCCTAGATTGTTTCTGCCCTGTGTGAATACAAGATGCTGTGCGCTGCATACTTTGTGCATTGGACTGCCTTTCTTTCTTTTGCTTGTTTGCATGGTTTGTTTGGCTTTTAGTTCAAAGATTTTAAGTCTCCGAGGGTTTAAAATGTGAATTTTGTGTTTATTTCTGCAGGTTTTTAGTGATAGCCAATGGGTTAGCTGCTGCCTACTCACTGGTGCAAGTTCTAAGGTGCATTTTGAGTATGATTAGAGGAAGTGTTCTCTTTAATAAACCATTGGCTTGGGCTATTTTTTCCGGTGATCAGGTACAAATTAATCCTAATTAGTTTATTTTTTCAGATTTTGTGGGTAATTAATTATCTATAAATAATTTCTTGTATTATAACCTCCAAAAAGGTATTTTTTTACATAAACTTTAGTTGAGGTGCGCATAAACTAATCCAAATACCACCTTAAATAAAAAAAGAAAAGAAACAGAAAAACAGGTGTCCTCTGGCGTGAGTTGGCTTTGGTTGCAAATATGTGTAGTGGTACTATTGCAGTCAGAGACAGTGAGTAGCTCATAACTCATAAATCCAAATAAATGAAGAGAGAATCCTAGCAAAATCAATGACTAGTCTAATCATTTAAAAAAAAAAAAAGTAGTTCTGGTCCAAATTCAACTAGTCTAATCTTTTTAATTGCTTAAAGACTCCTTGTTGTAATTTTTTTCTCAAATTCCTTTTTCTTTTTCAACATTAGACTCAACTACCATACTCCTTTTAACTTTTGGGAGGTTGTGGAAAAGAAAAACTTTGGAAGAGAGGTTTATGTAATTATTGTAGCTCTAAAGGGTGTCTTTGTAATTGTTACTTATTTAGGGGGTTTAAGTGGAAATCTTCTCATTTTTTGTTTGACATGGACTTATGGTGCTTAATCCCACAACTTCATATATCCTATTGTCCTTTCTATCAATGATAATATAATGTTCAATGTCAAAAACACTCGAAAACCAACCGGGGGCGGAAGCAGAGTGCGGGATGCGGGTTCGGCCGAATCTAGTAGCTTTTGTTCAAACTATGTATTCGTCAAAAATTCATTAAATATGTACAACTTATTAGTTTACATCCCAGTAACTTAAAAGGATTACAATCCCGAAACCATTAGGTTCAAATCTCTGCTCCACCTCTGAAACCAACAACTTCATTAGTTACATGATAAACTTAAACTAAATCTTAGTTTAGAATAACCATGTTTACAAGTTGCATTAGTGATAGAGTGGGGAGGGGTTCATTTCTGACATGAGACATAGATATACATGCAATAAATCATTAAAATTTCACAAAAAATTAAATAAGAACCTCTTAAAAGTCGAATCTATCGACGTTAATTCTTGAATCCGCCTCTGACCACTAATATTTCCTTCATTTGCAGTTGATGGCCTACTTGACACTAGCCGCGGTAGCCGCGGCCGCACAGTCGGCAGTGTTTGCCAAGTTAGGGCAAACAGAGTTGCAATGGATGAAGATTTGCAATATGTATGGCAAATTCTGTAACCAAGTTGGAGAAGGCATTGCAAGTTCTTTAGTTGTGAGCCTTAGTATGATAGTACTCTCTGGCATTTCTGCTTTCAGTCTCTTCCGTTTGTATGAAAATAATAGTAAAGGAAAAGGCAATGCAATATGATGAGGACTCTTTAGTTTGGTGGATTTCCCTTGTTCTTTCTTTCTTTCTTTCCTTTTTAGATCTTTTTTTCTTTCTATGGATTGTTGTAAAATAAATCAAGACAAAAGTTGGTGAAATTATAATCATTTTATGTTTGCTTGACCTAGTCCAAATTTTGTTTTCTGCTTACTTTTGTACTTTCTATCAACTAAAGAGACCAGGAATGTGATTAAAACAAAAAATGATAGTACAACTTTTTTATGGTACAACGGAAATGGTGACTAAATAAATTCTTAAATTCTTACCAAAGCCACACGGTTCAAATCTTTTGAAAAGAAAAAAAACTCTGGGTGTGTTTGGTATAAAGGAAAACATTTTCCGGAAAATGTTTTCCAATTTTCCCATGTTTGGTTGGCTTAAATATTTTGGAAAATATTTTTCTTATCTACTCATTTTCCTTCAATTAGAGGAAAATGTTTTTCTTATCAAGAGAAGGGAAAACATTTTCCAAAACTCCTTCTCAACCTTCCCCACCCTATCCCCAATCCACCCCCACACCCACCCACCCAAACCCCACCCCACCTCTCTCTCCAAAAATATTTTTTTTTTTAAATTTAGTTTTTTTTCCGTCACCACCCACCCTGCTATCCCCCCAAACCCACCTCACTGCCCCCCCCCCCACCGCTACAATTTTTTTTTTTGAATTTTCAAATTTCTATTTTTCGTTTCCTGCACCACCCTCCTCCCCCACCCGTCAAAAAAATTTTTATACTTATTTTTAATTTCATATTTCTATTTTTTATTTTCTGCACATACCCCCTGCCCCCCCCCCCCCCCGGGAAAAAATATTTTTTTTTAATATATATTTTCAATTTTAATTTTTTCATCTGTCGTTTTATAGGTTCGAAATTTTACAAGTTCCAAAGTTATGAGTTTAGAGGTTTATGTGTTTGAAAGTTTACGGGTTTAGAAATTATAAAATTTACGGGTTCGAAAGTTCGCGGTTTTTACGTAAAAAAGTAAAGCAACACATTAGTTGTTTTGGGTTGTGTCAATTTTTAGAGATTTGGGGAAAGGGTGGGCGAGGGGGAGGGGTGGGGGGAGGGGGAGGGGGAGGGATGAGGAGAGTTGCATAAAAAATATTTTTCTAAAAAAAATATTTTCTACTCTCTAACCAAACAATAGAAAATATTTTCCGGAAAATGTTTTTCACTCACCAACCAAACAAGGAAAAATAAGTGATAAAACCACTCGTTTTCCATGAAAACATTTTCTAGGAAAACATTTTCCATGGAAAACATTTTCCTTCATACCAAACACACCCTCTATTTCCTTTTATTTTCGTATATTGCTCATTTATCTTCGTGTTTGTGGCTTTCATTAGTCAAAAAGTTTACACATTGGTTCGCCTCCCTATATATAGGTTCAATAACTTTTTCCTTCACTTTTAGATTAGTCAATAGTAGGAGCGTCAAATTGGTGCGTTGGGCTGATTTTGAGCTGGTCAAAATGAGATGAGTCAATAAATAGGCAGATCAATTTTGGACTAAAACCTGGGTTATAGCCCAAATTATTACCAAGTTTTAATTAATGTGTGTTATTTTTTTATATTGTTTAATTATCAAATAAGATTTTTTCTTTTACTATGGTTATATATAACATATCAAACCAAAAAAATATTATTTTACATCTTTACAAAGTTACTCATAGATCAATATGGCCAAAAGCCAAACTTAGATAAGTTGAAATGGATTGGATCAAAATAAGATGTGCTCAACAAATGAGCGGATAAAATGGGTTTGGGCCACCCCTCGTCAATAGTTAACTTTTGCGATTAACGAGTAATTTTCCCTTCTCGTTAAAGGCTTCAATATTCCCCTATCGGTTTAAATATGAATTTTTATCAATACTTGCTTAGGCAATGTTAAAGTATTTTATTTATCTATCCAACTTAATAAACTATGAATTTTTGCAATCATGAAAAAATTATTTATGCAATAATAAAAATCAGAGTAATTGTCACGACCCGAATTTCCCATCTGTCAGGACATTGATGACGCCTAACATTGTACTCGCTAGGCAAGCCAACGTTATAGAATATCTCACCTTTTTCTTTTACCTTTTTATAATTAAAACTCAACAAAATAAATCAGCGGAATTAAATGCGGAATAACACAGTTTAAAAGATTATCTTTGTACTAACAAGGAAAAACGTAATAATTCCACCCAGAACTGGTGTCACAACTCACGGACAGTAGGGGTGGGCGTTTGAGCAGTTCGGATTGCATATGAAATTTCGGTTTGGATTTTCAGTTTTCGGATAGACGAAATGACAATCCAAATCCAATCCAAATAAGTTCGGTTTGGATCGGATTTTTTAAGTTCGGATTCGGGTTAATCGGTTTGGATATTTTGAATTTTCGGTTTTGAGTTTATAAGTTGAAATGTCTCTTCTTTTTACAAAAATGAATATCCAAATGAAGTACTCATGTTAAATTTCCTGAAAAGTTATTCATTCTCACCGCAATCATCTAAATGAAATATTCAAGTAATGAAATTATTATATAAAAAATAAAAAAATACAATAGAGACGTTAATATGACATATAAGAAGTAGAAATAGTAAAACCATGTCCAAATAGAAAGTATTCTCATAATAACTTAGTAATTAATATTGAATATATATGATAATATCTAATGGGTAGGGTATTGAACTTATTACTATTGACATATGGATAATGGACTAAACATAAAGTATAAGAATTTCAGATTTTCGGATATCCAAAAATTCGAAGTACCAAATCCAATATCCAATCCGAACTCCAAAATTTTAAAAATTAAATCCAAAGTCCAATCCGTAATCCAAAAATCCAAACCAAATATCCAAGAAATTCGGATTTCGATTTGGATTTCGGGTTTGCCCAAAGTATGCCCACCCCTAACGGACAGTCTACGAATACTACAAATAATGGTCTGAACGAAAAATTTACCTCTGTCTCGAAAGTAGTTAAAACAAAAATGAAATGGGATAGAAGGGGACACTAGAGTCTGCGGACTCCTGCAGGATTACCTTGGGTCTCCGAGAAGCAGTGATAGCAACCAACCTCACGATCAGCCACTAGCTCCAAAATCTGCACAGAAAGTGCAGAGTGCAGTATCAGTACAACCGACCCCATGTAGTGGTAAGTGCCGAGCCTAACCTCGATGAAGTAGTGACGAGGCTACGGCGGGGCATACAACATATACAACCTACAACAGTTTATGCTAAACAGAAAGGAAATACATAATGTAATAAAGCAATAACTGGCATTAAATAAACTCGGAACCCAGATGTTCTACTAGTATTCAGCTATAACCAATCTTAAGGGTGTTTAAGCATCACAGTAATGGGTCTTAACAGAAATGAAAATATAATAACAACTGATGCGGCGCGCATCCCGATCCCAACACATAAATAACAACAATATCAATATTCACTCTTATTCTTCCTTGTTGCGACGTGCAACCCGATCCCACCTGTCCACCCTTATTACTCCTCAACACATATCATTCTTATTCCTCCTGTTGCGGCGTGCAACCCGATCCCACCAGACAATCACATTTCACCCTTATTCCTCCTGTTGCGGCGTGCAACCCGATCCCAATATATACATCAGCACCAAACACAAAAGAATAAAGACAAGTGTTTCACAAGCTAACTCAAATCCCCCACGTTACTTACACCTCAATCCACACAATGGAATATCACTACGGTTATGAAACTTCACCAGTGAAAACTACTCAGCGAGACACACCAAGGTGTACCGTAAGGCACCAACAAATCAATATAAGCCAACATGGTAATAAAATGAAGCTACGAAACCAATAATACTCCAACGTGAATATCAACAGTTAACATGAAACAATTAAATAATGCAATAAAGAGAACAACAGTTAATATGAAGCAATTAGATAAGGAAACATTTATGAGCAAATAGCATTTAAGGCAGGAAAGCAAGATATAGGGAAACGGGGAAAGGAAACGGGCTAAAGAAGTAATTTGGTGGCGCATAGGTACTCGTCACCACACCTATACGCCACACACATGATATCTCACATAGCAAGCAAGTCGGGGATCCCTAGTCCCTCAAGTCGAGGTTAAACCAAACACTTACCTCAAGCCAACGGGTATTTCAAAGCTCAATCACCGCTTTACCTCTCGATTCCACCACCAATTCAGTCGTATCTAGCGATAATCAACTTAATAAAATCAATAAACGCTAAAGAAACCAATTCAATACACAATTATAGTTTTCTCAACATTTTTCCCAAAAGGTCAAAAATCGACCCCGGCCCTGCTTGGTCAAAATCCGAAGTTCGGACCAAAACCCGATTATTCATTCACCCCCGAGCCCGGATATGCAATTGGTTTCGGAATCCGGCCTCAAATTGATGTCCAAATCCCCCAAATTCGAAATTCCTAAATTGCACCCTAGAACACCCAATTTCCCATTAAAAACCCTAGATTTTAAGATGAAATCATGTAAAAAGATGAAATAGATTGAAGAAAATGATTTAGAAATCGTTAACCTATGATTTGGGGAAGAACTCTCCTTAAGAAAATCGCCTATGGGAGCTTAGGATTTGAAAATTTGAGAAGTGAAGTGACAATCCCGTCAAAATGATGTTTTGATTAGTTGCAGATGTCGAATTTGCGACAGGAGCTTCGCAATTGCTAAGCTCGCAATTGCGAGACAGGCTTCGCAAATGCAAACCTGCTGCAATGTTTGCTTCTGTCGCAATTGCGAACATGTTGTCGCAATTGCGAAGGTTGACCCCCCCTCCCCCCCCCGTTGACTTCGCAAATGTGAAGGAAATGTTCGCAAATGCGAACTGTGCTGGCGAAGTCTTCTTCACAATTGCGATAAATCCCTCGCAATTTCCAAGCCTGTGAGGCTCGTAATTGCGAAGCCTGACCTCGCAATTGCGAGATCAGAGCCTGCAACAAAATACCAGATGTAACAGAAATTTTCTAAGTTCAAACTCACTCCGTGGCCTATCCAAAACTCACCCGAGCCCTCGGGGCTCCCAACCAAATATGCACACAAGCCTAAAAACATCATACGGACTTGCTGGTGCGATCAAATCGCCAAAATAACATCTTAAACAATGAATTTAACACCA